TGATGATGATGATGATGATGATGATGATGATGATGATGATGATGATGATGATGATGATGATGATGATGATGATGATTGCTTATACAAACAGGTCTTTCTAGGCATCTTACAACAACAGCAGCAAACCCTGCGTAACAAAACAAATCTGCAAAATGCTTTTTCTCTGGTGACCGGTTTGACACGTTTCTCGACGGCCGGTTCAGAGATCCTGAGTTTGGTTTTACTATATTTCACTTGTGATCTCTGGTTGGAGTCCACTATGGCGAAGCGTAACCTTGTTTGCCCGACGGTATTACCACTATTCTATCGATAACTGTTTTCCTCTTTCAGCCTGTCTCACTTTTTGGTGCAACAATCGTTTGATTTTAGCGATGGACCTGGTTTATCGACTTAACAGACATTCGAGCCCGGTATCATTTTTGCGTGCGATCTTTCAGCCACTGACATATCCGTTGTTTGGCGCACTTGTGAAATTAGCCCTTATCAGGCATCACCTAATGATACTAAACTGGGACGCGTTCAACAGAGCCTATGCACATCGTTCTAAGCGCACACCTCTGATAACTGTCTCGAACCACCATTCATGTCTTGACGACTTTATGCTCTTCGGATCGCTATTATCCCTACTGGATCTTACAAGTGGTAAGTGATCCTGGTTGATCATCATGTATGTTTAGTTCGTCGTTACAGGTGGACTTTGACCGCGGTGGATATCTGCTTTACGACAAAATTGCATAGTTTCTTTTTCAATTGGGGAAAAGGCATCCCTGTATGGCGCACAGTGCGTGATTGGAAATCTGGGAAGCTGATTTCCAAGGGTGGAGGTGTTGATCAACCGTCGATGAACTTTTCTCTCGATCTGTTGAATAGGGGAGATTGGATTCACGTCTTTCCTCAGGTTTGCTTTGCTAGGTTTCAGTAACTAATTTGCGCATTGCAACACATCACCATGGTATTGATTCAGAACATAGTGTAGGGTTTGTTTTACTTGCTTCATTAGAATTCCACTGGTTTCTATCCAAACTAACCAACAACCACGTGAATGATAATGAAGAGAAGGTGACTTCAAAAAGGAGACCTAATACTGTGTACGTCCTATACCTTGGTCTCAATCTGTGGCTTCTTCGACCGATAGCTACATCTGCAAGGGAACTGAATCATGAGAATTAATCCAGTGCTGAGGGCGCGCTGGTTGTAAGCCCGATCGGTTGTAATCGTGGGGAGTGAGGCAAATCAGCCCTGCGATGAATACAATAACTGCGATATGGGAGAGCCAAACACCCAAACGCTTCTCAGCCAATATACTTCATGATCTGGAATAAAGTGGTCGCATCCCTACAACTCATTAAGATGGACCTACACTGCGTTTGCCACTCAGACTGCTAATACCGATTTAAGGGATGGATGATAAACACTTCGTGCTGGTGACCCGATTGTCATGGCGAACGGGAGGTATCTACATCCAGTCTTCCTTTGGGCACAATGTTGAGAATCGTTGTGTCGGCAGCCTGAGATCCACTGGTGTTAGTAAATATAAAAGGAAAGGACGGATTATTGTGGGGTGAGCAACTGAGTCAGAATTGTTTAGCTTCTGTGATCATTTATCTCGCCGTCGTCCAATCAAGTTACCGGCATTGGGAACAAGGTCTTATTTAGTAGACTGGCCCACCAGGGTACATAGCTATACTTTTAGTTTGGTCTTGAACCACAAGGTGTTCACCAGCCCGAACGTAGCGGCAATATTCAATGGCCGAGCGAATAGTGTCGTACTGATGCATCGGTACTCGCGTTGACTGACAAAAATGCCCGTAGATCGTAACTGAAATCAAAGTCATTCTTTCATTGCTAACACCGTAACACTTCTGGCCTGTATGAACGAGTTTTTTCTCCGGGCAACACCGGACGATTGCTTATGAACGTCAGTAATCTGTCACCGACACACACTACTAGATTAGCCGGAGCCGAGATACGCCTTCCAGTTGGCTTCGTCTAAATGAACCGATGTGTTTGCGAATAATCTGCCGATCTGGTTAGAGACAGGGCGTCTGCTCAGTTGCCACATTCTGCGACAACAGGCAAAGTGCGCGTTTGTATTGGACAGTTGACGCAGATTTGGTTTCATCATTTTTAACATAACTGTTTGAACTAGGATTGAATCTTGTTATTGAATATTCATAAGATCCTCAGCATAGGTTAGATGTATTTTTCGAAATACAAATACGTGGCCTTTTTGGAAGAAAGATTTTGACGGAGTCACGAAGCTCATTCAAGATAACGCCTTTTGCTGGGACAATGTCGGAGCGCTCGTTACTAACGGAACAGTCACTCCAGTCGCTGCGTTATCTACTGATAACCTTTCCTAATTCAGCCCACGGATTTGAATGTTCTACTTTAGTCACCTCTCGTGCAAATAAGTCATCCTCTCCTACGTCTCCTTTAGACGCGTCGTGAATCTTCACAGAGTTTTTCTCACTTCGTCAGTGAAGTTTCGTTCGGAGGGAGGCACCCTATTTTCTACGCAGCCGATCGCGACTTGCCAATAAGTGGTATAGATTTGGTGTGTGTGTGGGGACTTGGCCATCCTTGTTTTCTTTCCGCCCTAACTCTCGGTGCGTTCTCCACATTAAATTTACTACTAATGCCAAACAACAAACACTTTCTCAAATAAATAAGCCAAATTTGGCCACATCCGTATTCGTCTCGCATTCACAGGGTCGGATTATCCATCCTTATGAACGTGACACTGAAACAGATATTCGATTACGGTGGGGCGTTGGTCGTTTAATAGCGGAATCGAAAGAGGTGAGTCCCGTAAGCTAGGTGTGTTCGTGTTAATGTGTGTGTATATGGATGACTCATTGTTTTGGCTGACGCATAAACAGACGGCCGTCTGGTGTATCCATTTGGTGAACAAGTCAAACAAATCTGACACGTAGTCGCTCTTCGGTTCTACGTTGATCATGTCTGTTTCATTTGTTTGCCGCTGTAAATAACCGAGATATTTAGATGCGCTTTGTGGCGAGGACTTTATGAATGTGCCTAACAGAAGAACGTTGTAGGATTGTGCAATGATCACCGATTCTGATGTTCATTTGAGATCCAGTCGATAGGCAACATATGTGGATTAATTTAAATAGAGGTTAATGGGACATTTTGCTTTCTTTTTATATCCACTGACCACTGCGTATAGCTAAGAGTTTGGTTAGCGCGTTTCTGCGAAGGTACCAATATTCGTTTGTTGTATGGACTTTCAGTGCTCCAACCTTACCGAAGCACCAATTTGGTGTGTCGAATCTTTATCACTCATCTTGCCTTGCACCAGTGTGGTGTTCCCGTACACCTTTACTCATAATTCTTTATATTATAGCTTGTATGTTCTAACTGGACAGACGGTTCATTTTCTGCTTTAATCATATAGCTGAGAAAGTTACCGTCTTGGTTCAGCATTTCCCTCATCAGTAATCGTCAGATTGCATCATGAAATTGGGGCTTCGCATTTTCAAGGCTGTAAACGTGGAATGTGCACCACTCGCAGTCAAATTAGGTGGTTGTTGAAGCTCACAAGCCGGGCGAGAGTAGTTCTGAAACCGTTATGCTAGCCTCGTGCTACTTGATAGGTAGCAGTACTGTGATATGATTAATGCAAGACAACATTTGCGCTCGAAGTGAGGTATGTCTTTACTAGGAATAATGATTCTTGAGCGTAGATGACAGTTTGTAGCACATATCGGACTGTAATTGGTATTCCACATTCGTAACTTGACGAAGTGGACCGGTCATAAGCACAAGATCAAAAGTCGTCAGCGATAGTGTGAAGTTCGCTTTCATGGTCCAATAGTCATCACAAACAGCTACACGTGTATTCCAGTGCCGGCCCTTTATCGCCTTACAACCTTTACAGTTAGCTTGAGTTATGACTTTACAGTTCATTCTCGTCATAACGCTATCATTCCGAATGGTGTGACGGTAAGCCACGTTGCAGTGAGCTTAAGCTTCAGACTCTCGACGAGTTTCTGACAGTTGAAAGAGGACTTAGATCCCGTGAAACGTACATATATGCAGAGATTCAGTTGAATCCTAATTGATCCTCTCACTTACGGTACTCTTCAACTGAATATGCCGCACAAAGACCACCACATGTTTCAATTGGGGTAAGGTACCGCGGTATATTGTTTCGACGGACCACACAACTCATCATCATCGACGGCATGACATCAGTTTTCAACACTGATGCTTCAGTGCTGTACAGCTGTGATTCATTTGAAAGCCTTATTCTGAAAAATGGTGATAGTGCTAGACTACCACATTCCAAAGTGCCTACACCTCTAGACACTCATCCAGACAATCTGTATAGAAATTGACATCAAGAACGCCACTGACATCGATTAGCAGCCATATCTTGCAGCGTCCCTAACCAGGCGCAGTGGAGATCGCACACTCCTCATCCTCGAAGGGTAGTAGCACTGATGGTACCCAGACTTTCCTAATCTCCTTGATGCCCCTGTGCCAGATCAAAGGCAGGTTACCATTCTGCTTTCACTACTCTGGACTGGGCACGGAAAACAGCACAACTCATAAGATGGCTGAAAAAATTTTGACAACCCACGGCCGGGTTCTCATTTCTTTTGGCTTATCACCAACTTAATTTCCTGCATATTTATTTGAAAAATACCATAAACGAGAGTTTCGGCTGGGATTCAGCTGAGTCTGTCATTAAAACCAAAGTAGTTTGCAGGTGAACGTATTTCGCGAATGGCGCTCAGGCTCAATCAAAACGTAAGGTTGACGGTATCTCGGGGACTACACGTACCTAATGGGTCATAAGAATGGCATAATATACGGTAATGGGTAGAGAAGACCCTTTCATTGACACACTATCGTAAACGGACAATTTGGATGAGATTACAAACTCTAAACTATCACAACGTCTTTTCTAATGGTCGTTTCCACTTCCAACGTGAAGTCGCCTCAGTACAAAATCATGGTAACTCCCAATTAGAACACGTATTTCGGGCTGGCTTGTGTTAACTCATGTTCAAGTTAGTCGGTCTCCTCTGGAAGCTTTTGAACAGAGAAGTAATCAACATATTCAGTGATCTTTAAGAACAATTAGGATCGACTTGTGCTTGCATCTTACGGTTAGACGGCACTCTGAACAAAGTTCGAATTGGACCTGTCTGAACCAGCAAGTTCTGGTTGATGGACGTAGTGCCACTACCGCTGCGGAATTTAACTAGACGGTCAAAGTCAAGCAGATCACAATCCTCAACTGCAATTACACTATTGTCGGGATCACTCTGAAGTATAGCTGTCCAGTTTTTTTAGAGTTCTTTGCCAGTCAGAGGGCCCGATAGATATGTGAACTTCCCTAACAGCGAACTGATGTTACTGCATAAACTACGTAGAATATGCATTCTCTCGGCATTTTGTGTCTTAAAGCTATCTTCAGTTAAGCCCGTCATTTTTTGCCCCTTTTAATAATTAAGAAAGGTACAGTTCCATTTATGACAGACACTTGACGAATTATTTCATCAGTGGAAGCAGACTCCCAACCTCAGGCACTGTGTATAGTACCACATAGTTCATAATACATGTATAATATATTACTATATATTGTAGTATATGGTAATACCACCTAGAAATAAATTGAGTTAAACGCCAATCAGCTGACGAACGGCAATCGAGCACCTTCCACAAATTCGTAAAATAAACTTCCTGAGAGGGACAGGACAGCCGTTTCTGAAGTTATTGTCAAATCAAAGCAGCAAGACCCATGGACTGGACATACATGCCATCAGCGGAACTGAGCGTTTTGGAAAAACCATGTGACTGTAGGAACTACAGGTTGTTTCGTCCGACACTGCAGTGCTGCTTTCCGTTGAAAAAACCGGGGGACCTCGGATGCATTTAACGATTGGGCGGATAGTCCAACATTTGCGAGTAAAGTGTGCAGTCGTATGGTTGTTTCTAAATGAAGACCTTTGCCGATGAGCTGTTGAATAGACGGAATGGTGTGTCTATGCTGGTCGTCGGAGGTTGTACTGGTACTAGCTATTCAGAGGAATCTCACTGGAGTTGAGTGAACAACGCATTGGTCGGGAGTCGGCCATTGGTGTATGGGGATAAAAGCGACCGTGCTGCCTTCAGGAACCAGGCCAGACGTCTAAAGTCTTCAGCTGAGTACAGTTCATCTGGTTGATGAAAAGCAAACTTCTTGACAGTGGCTCACTGAGTTACCATTTGCGATGTAAAGCTACTAAATCCATCGTTATTTTCTTCTCTTTACAGCCACCTATCGTTCTTCCAATTTGGCATTGTGGGTTTGACACACTCAATCCATCTGATCCGTCAGACACTTTAAAAACCATAACCTACATACTGGGAAAACCGCAGTGCTTGACCATCGGCGTGGGCGAGCCACTGGATATTTGTTCCCTCCGAAAGGAAATTCAAGACATTTGCGATAACCATACGGTATCTGACAATCGTCGATCACTAATACATGCTCGGCTCACTGACATTGTTCAACGTAAACTTTATGCTCTGAAAGCCAAAACAGATAAAGAACATCAAGCCCGATTGTGTTCTTTGTACACTAGATGAACGTTTATTGCTTATGTTTTATATTTTATTCCTACACTGGTATGTTTAGTTTTTCTATGATTGCTCCATATATTGATGCCGCACCTGCCCCGTGAGAATTTGTGTTTTAGCTTCAGTCTTCTATTTTTTTTACTGGAACGGCAGAATATATGTCGGTCTTGTTAAGTGCTCATGGAGTACGATTTTCACTTGACGGCAGAATATATGTCGGTCTTGTTAAGTGCTCATGGAGTACGAGTTGCTTTCCTAGCTTACTTCGAGAAAAAGGATAAAGTGAACATGAGGGAATGCATGGTTCTTTCGACCGGTCAGTTCTTTTCAAAACGTTTGGGCAGCAGCGTATGCCCCAGAAGTCCGAGTATAGCTCTGTTTTAACTCATACTTGTGGGTGCGTGAGTGTGTTGGAAGCTGTCCATAAGTTCTTTACGCGGTTACGAATACGACATCTATTAAGGTAACTTTCGGGACTAGTCGCGTTTCGCCGGTTAGCTCGTGGTCATTTAAATTCCCCTTTTCCGGCAAAGTTTGGCACTTACCTAGAAAACATAACGCTTGATCGTAGGAAGACTTGTTTTTGTTGAGCTCATGCAAACGATTTTCGACGGCAAAGTTTTGTCGTTTTCCTGCGGTAAGCTTCATTTACGTTCCACCATTCTCTCTCATTACTGTCGGTGATGATAAACCAACTCAACCATCTCAGTAGAGACTCTTTGCAACTCGTATTGTCAAGATACGTCGATGCCACTTCTATTCCGCACATGCTTCGTTATTGACTAGTCATGCAAAGACAAGCGTTCCTGACCGAAGTCATATCGGTGACTGATGCCCATGTGTTTCGGTAGGTAGCAATCCATCTTACACATGAAATGCTGTTAGAATCAACTTGTTTTTTCCAGAATTTCTCCGGTATTCTATTACTTGAGGTGGTGAAGTCTGGAGCACTGATGATTGAACACATCTGTATATAGGGCACACACTGAATTGAGCTAATTATATTCATCTCAAGTAATTTTCCAGAGACTGCCGAGGTGCCCCTAGTTGGTGATCATAAAACCAGTGAAGAAGGGTGGCGACTGTTATTTTGACCGGAATACAGTTCTGAGGAATACAATAATTCCGCTAAGTTATCTTCAGTTTTCCGTTGTCTATCAAATTCAGGGTTCAAGGGGAGAGATGGCCCAAGTGGTTAGAGCCCGAATTTATTGACCGGAAGGTCCGTGGTTCGGACCCGATATCTGCCTCTCGACTTCCCCTGTCCAGGCTTGGGCAACCCGTCACTATCCCAGCCTCGTGATTCCTTCGGGTAGCATGGCAGCTAGGCATCGGAAGGGTGTTACAGCTGGGCGATTCTATTATATTAGGAGCGAAGTCACCGGCTACATATTTGGCAAAACCGGGAGCTCACACATGCTAGTCGCTGTTTTGGTAGATCCTAGGAACAGTGGACTGACTAGCCGCGAGATTGCCTGAGAAATACTGATATAATCGAAATATTTCCGTAACTCTTCGAAAAGAAGTTTTGCATGCATGGAAAAAGGTGCGCGCCCTCTGAAGTAAAGCTTACAGGAGTTAGTACGTTATTTCACAAACGAAACATAAGGTTTTCCTCTGATGAATAGGGCAGTTTGGGTCATGAATCGCGACCGAAAGCCGTGGATGAAGAGCTGTGGTATTTAGCGACGACACATTTGGATGACTCTGGTGAATTAAGGTACTAATGTCGTGCTAGCCTTTGTTTCATCGTCATGCTGTCAATGATGATGATGATGATTGTATCAGTAACCTGTGGCACAACTTTCGTATGTTGCTTGGCAGTTCAGGCTGAGAAGTTTACTCATTTACCTGACTACCAGACGACCTCTATTGAATTAAAGAAACTGGCTGAGCTACCCAATACTCCTCAAAAACATCGTATGGGTTCACGGTGCCCGCGTCACAGGAATGCGATGGCCGTTTCGTAGCACCAAGGCCATCAGCCAACCAGCTCGAAACAAGGATTTAACTGCGATAAAACACTTGGGTTAGAAGGGGGAGATTAGTAGTCTCTATCATATATCCTACAAACTGAGGTCCGACCTCTACGTACTGTTGAAAGTTGATACTCAATTGGGATCAGCTTTTAATATTCGTAAGGTCACTGTTCCTGGTGGACGATGTTTTTGACCACTCGTTAGAGGTGGTTGAATAAATGTACTTCTTTAGCACATGACTCGCTGTAAACTGCTTAACTTAAATCCTTGTTCACGATCGAAGGTGTATCCAGTATGGTTCTGGATCTATGCGTTACGGTCTTTACGGCGTCCATTCAAAATGCCGTTAACCATCCGTACTTTGGAGGGCGTAAATTCCAGATTTGGCTTGTAAGTAGCTGATTATTCAGCTACTGTTCTTCGGCCCACTACGACTACGATTGTCGTAACAGCGTGAGCTTTTTTCATGAAAACCTGGTAATTAATTTTAATAATGGGGTAATTTTATGTTATTTTATATTAGATCTTACTTTCCTGTATCATTTGGGTGGGAGAAGGCTGTCGTGTCAATTCCTACTAGTTCGACTTATTCCAACAACACCAATGGGGCTTCTTTCCATACCTTAACGCAGTTTTCCAGGACTGCAATAACTTTGAGAGACGCTACCTGCATATGAAATTCAGTAGTAGGAAAGCGTGATACCAAGCGGTTCTTACGGCTTATGATGACGATGACTCCGAGTAGTCTTTTGTTCGCGAGTGAGTAGTATCTCGCGCTACCGCGGCGTATCCTTGCGAACGTTGAGTGATTCGTTTTCCTCGTCCCATCTATTCGAATGAGATCATTCAGCTTTGAGATCCTTGCTACCCTACCCTGTGGTCCACAGAAGGCACAAGGACTGAGCTGTCTCCGGAACTCAGCCTTTTGGCAAGATGGACATTCAAGTCCAGTGGTCGTGCTCAAACATTGGTGCTAGGCTGTTGTACGCCCTCAGGAAGCTATTGGGTTATGCGTACGTGAAAAATGCATTTTTCCTTCCGTGTAGGTGGCTGGCTATGGGCTCCGGAAAGCACGGTGACAAACAGATGGCAATCGTGGTTTCCTATCCCAAATGACCGTTCAAGTCCTTGATATTTCTGTTAGGCTTGGAACCTGATTTTGTTCCACTACATCCTTTAGCTTCCCAAGAACTCGCGTAAACTTTGTTCATTCAAGCTACACTGTTTTCACCATTCGCACTCTACCATTTCTTTATTGGAGTTTTTGTTTCATGGGCCCTTTCGGATATCTAGCCAGTTTGCTGTCTATCACTTTTATGGAGGCTCCTCGGTTGTGCATCCTCTCTTTTCCAGTAAACACCTTTTTTGAGTGATCGAAAATCACAATAAACCGCAGTGAAGCACTGATGTTTACCATCGAAAATGTCACGATTGTTCCCTGTAATTATGCGTTGCAACTAATTTCGATGCTGTTGTTACGCGAAAATGCCATCCGGTTCTGGTTGAGCATAAACTGTAAGGATAACACGGGCCTTTGGTAATTGAGAAACATGTTTTTTTTGAATTATGTGATGCAGCGAAAATAATTTGAGCAATGATGCACACAAGGAAATTACAAGGACGCAGTTTTTATCCACATCACTGGTTTCTCCTCTTCCTTCCTCTCGATCCTGAACGTTCGAATGGTCTACTTGCTTCGTGGTCGGCCTTCGAGATACCCGTGAAGTCCAACGATATCAGATTGGGAAGTATTGCGATGACGATACGGAAGTAATTCTGTAAAAGTGGACAAAACACGAACGTAAATAAATATGACTAAGCCTGATCCTCATGCATCCTTGAATATATGCAGTCCATAAATAATTATCTTTTGGTCGGTATCAGTGTGTCGTTATATTGACGTTTTAGGCATGCGTATTTTGCCTTAGTATTATATATTACTGTTAGTCCGTCTCAAAGTAGTCATTGATTTTGATTTGTGGCTACTAATGACAATAACTGTTCGGTTTTTCGGCTATTTTCCCTATCCAAGAACAACTGGATTCCATTTTTTACGGCTTATTTCACGGGAATATTGATTCATGAACGCTGCCTCTTGAGGCGTTGTTGACTATGGGATTCCGTTATATCTATCAACATCACCAACCACCTGTAGGATGCATCTTCTTTTTATAGCTGGGTGAAAATAACTGCAAGAAGCACAGCTCCTGAGACTTCTTTTGCATGTCATCTGTGGTATTTAGCTACTTTATCTGTTGTGAACGACTTACAGTCATCATCATCATCATCGGCAGCATGACATCAGTGTTCAGCACCTATGCTTCACTGCCGTACAACCATGATTTATTTGAAAGCCTTACTGTAAAGAAAAGAACAAAGGTGGACGGGGAAGGGACAGAGTGCTAGCTTACCACAATCATTCCGAGGTGCCTATAACTCCAGACATTTACTCAGGCGATCTGGGTAGAAACTGACAAAAAGAACGTCACTGACATCGGTTGGTAGCCATATTTTGTAGTGTCTCCAACCAGGCACAGTGAGGATCACGCGGTCCCCATCTTGGACGGCGAGTAGCACCCAAGCAATCAGTTGGGCGCAAATTAGCGCTTATTATCCGACGATTTGGAGATAGGGGTAGTCCCACAAGGTATACTTTGGCTTCCTCAGCTCAGAGATAATGCTGGATTGCTGCTGTCCATAGAGCACAACTAACAGGAAGATATGAGCACGGCTTCACTCGATTTCTCCACGTTTTCCCATTGCTGACTGCATTGACTTGCATGGGGATTTAGTGGTTGATCATCAGATTGACGTCTGAGTTTGATCCTAGCCTTCTGGCAGCACAGTCATCCTACGTAATCCATCTGAAACACTCCGCTTTTTCAAAGTATCAGAAATGGTGTAAGGAACCAAGTCACCATACTCATTGTTTTCGAATTGCTCAGGATTGTGTCGAGCTTTGAGATTCCAGCGAAGAAAGGGTGTTTTGTTCACTACTTTGAAGGCAAGGATTAAGTTGCTGTATCTGCGCAGCTTCTACTTTGTCTTGGTCCTTTCTCTTAAGTTTGTGGGCTCCTATGAAATTTCATCATGTCTGAAGACTGGGAGTTGCAACCCGCTCTCTATCGCAACTGAGGGGTAAATGTTTCCAATGTGCATTTTTCTTCGATAGAAACGGTACCAGCGTTCCTAAAACTAGGATAAAGAAGCTCCGCTAAATTGTCCTATCAGGAGTTTGTATTCTCCTTCTACTTACACAATGATTCTGCGAACAATATGCGTATATTTTAAGCGACCGGTGTTTTCTGCGCCGTTTTTCTGTCTCGTTGCTCGAAGCCTTCTAAATGAGGTGCGACCCGTAAATGTCGTAAAGCCTTTTTTAATTGACCGGTTGATGACTACTGGTACTTGAAGTCATTTTGAGCTCTTGATTACTTATTTTTGAGAGTTAAGCCGTGCGCCATCACAATCACTGGTGTTTTTTTCTTCAGAGATCGGCAAGGAGAGTTCATCGTTCGGAGACCTAGTGTGTTTTCGGCCTTGTTGAAGAACTTGTAGTGTGAACACAGGTTACCTTACTTCTCATTTTTTCCACGAATTGCTTGTCATTAGCACTTAGATTTCAATGGGGCGTTTGCTTCAGCCTTACTCAGTAACTTTGATCATGTGTGTTTAATCTGGTGGACCAACTTGCCTCAACGTGGGTTGCTCCATCAGGTAGGTTGCGGAATCGATACCCATGAATGAACGGTGACCTTATCAGAATCAAGTTTCTACCCTAAGAAGTGAGTGTTCACACACATATATCTAGGTGCCACGTGGACCAATAGAGAATGCCTGCTCGTTGTTGATGGACTTCGAGCAACATTTTGTGTATGTTTGTACATCCGGGGGAATTTAGTCAGAAGAACTGAGAATTCTGTTTGTTATTGCTTGTGCTATGCGTAATGACAGCAAAACGTTCACTGAAATGTGCGTCTCCAGAACTGAGTTAGGCATTCTGTTTGCCTCCATGCTAATGGAGGCTAGGATTCTCGCTAACCAAACAGTTGTAACAAGCCTCGGCAGACTGACTTCCTCTCCTTTTGTGCTACAGCCTATAGAAACAAATACTGAATTCGCCCATAAAACCATCTATCTATCGAATTAGTTTGAAAAGACATCATCAATTGAAAAGCAAAATGATGGCCTTTTAGTGAAATTCACTCCAACGCAGAGCGTTTAACTCTGTGTTTGAGTGCAATCGTTACGCAACAACTCACCAGAAAATAAAGTATCAACGTCTGAAATATCTGGTGCCACTGTGATTGGAATGAATTACTTTGCTAAGGCTGTGTGTTTTGGGAAGTCAGCATGCATAAAACGAATACTTGAGTAAGCTCTCTGTTGCTATTGGTTCCTATGATAATACGAGTCGATTTCACTGAGTCCGAGTCGATTTCACTGTTGCCATCTACCAGTGGCAGTCAGCAGCCTAATCTGAAGAGATCAAGAACAGAATCTGGTTCTGTTTACGAAACAAAATAGTAATATCACTTATTTTGACAGGAGATATCCGTTGAAATACGCATCATATATATTCGGCGATAAAGTTTCATTTTGGTTTACAGTACCGGGTGCGAATGTGGTCACACCACATAGACAGATGGCAAACATCCAACTGAGACATATCAGGGTTCAGAGTCAGGGAATCTTGTTCATTAAGTCGTTGAATAAAGGACATCATGAGCAAATGACTGTTTTCAGGTTCCAAGGGCGAAGAATTATGTTGCCTGGAGTACACTGCCTTCAAAGCAGTACAAAACGGAGAGGTAGTTGGGAAACTCAAACTCTAATCGTTGGATCCAAAACGTGACTTTTAAGGTGCAAGTCAGGATTATCTTTGGGAGCCCAGTCCGGAGCCGATAGCATGATAATTCTGACCGCTCAGTCCATCGCAAAGTGACAGAAATTTAAGGTAGTGTGGCTACTTCTGCATTTTCATGAGCCACTGATCTGTACCGTTGGTGTCACTGTGACACCCACAGAGTTTCTGGCGTGTGGTTGGGTAGTGGTTAGGGGTTTGGTAAGCACAGCCTTCTAGTACTCGACGCGGGGTCTCGGGACACGCGCGGCGACTTCGTTCTTAAACATGTACTACTATGGTAATATAATGCCTCTCTTCCGCTGCTCTGTACCTAGGATTTTGTGCCGAATGTTTTGTTTGAGCACGGTAATCTCCATAATATCTAAATGTGAGGTCCCAGGACGATATTTCAAACCGCGTACAACAATGAAACTCAAAGTTATCATACTTTCGTGCCACAATGGCCTTCTTGTGGCGCCTTTAACCGGTCACCACATTTGCATACTCTATACGGGTAGACGAAATCAGGCTATCGTCGATGCCGATCATTTTTCACTCGCATACATTCCCTCTTTTCTGCTGCATCTAGTTGTAATCTCCCTCCAAGCAGGTCCCACAAGTACGTTTTCCCGCTCTGTTCGCTTCGTATTAATCTCAGCAGCACTTCTAGGAGTCTTTTCTCGGTAATCGCTCCACGCATCCCGAAATCCGGTTTACTTAGCTTTCCCTATTGTTCTTACTCAGATGCAAGCGCGTAAAAAGTTTACTCTTACTTTTACGATGGATCCATCGTTGCTCATCACACAGCCGCTTGTCAGTCGTCACGTTTAACTGTTTTTTTAGGTTTGCTCAGATCACGCAAAGTTTACTTAGCCATGAGTAGTTCAGGGACTCATAACCCAAACGAACTCATCAAAATTATCTCCTGTAGCAACTTTTTGCTGTTCAGAGGTTAGATACTAAGAGGAAAAATATGCAGATCTGCACCTGATGCCGGAACTTTTGACTGCGATAAGTTCCAGGTGGCATCTTCCATGAACTAAAGTTGGGCAGGACCACCACCCTTCTTGAGGCCGTACGACACTAGTTGCAGCCACAATCTAACTGGAGCATCATTCAAAGCCATATAAAGCGGAGAATCCACGCGTTCCACAAAGCCTTGTGGATCCAGATAGAAGAAATGGAAGAATCGAGAATGTTTGCACGTTGCTGAGCTTGATTTGTTCTCTAGGTCCTCTAAAGGTTTTTTCCAAAAAAACTACCAAGAACCGGAATGGCTGTCTGATATCCAGTAAAGCTTTGGATCTCTGGACAGATTACCTAGAATAACAATCCAATAGCTTACTTGCTAACTTCCATCCGGACTGTCGGCCACTGGAAGGAACTCTGACTGTGAGTATGGAACACCTTTCAGTGCCTGTCTTACTCATTTGCATCTATCTTGGAGAGCAAACCGTTCTGTATATCCGCAAGGATTCATTAAGTGCTCTCAGAAATGGTGCTCACTGTGAGTGTGGCAACTACATGAGCGTCATTTTGACTCCCGTTGTAACAAGGCTTTTGGATTCATTACTTTTCAGTCTTATGAGTTTTGCAGATGGAACTCGGATTTAGATAGGATGGAAGCTGCATCGGCTGCATATTTGCACGCCCTCAACTGTAAGTGCATCATCATATGTACAAACGACCCAAAACGGTGTTGTTTCCTTACTTCATTGATGCATTTGGTTCTATAGATCGGTCACCACCTCTAACTAAACTTGCTTAAAGGGATATATCATGAATTTGTAGACATAAGTCGGCTCCTATAATAACCTACTTTCAAGCGCGTCAGTATGTGTTCAGCTAACCAGAAGTTTCCATATGAAAAACAGTGTTTATTCCTTCAACTTCCTCATCCATGAAATAATGAGGCTGAGGCTGGAGTATCTGAGAAATTCCCATGATCGAATTATATGTGTGTATAACCCTGTGGTTCTGGAGTATGCAGACGACATATTCTGAAACTTAAGAATGAAGTCTGTGTATATACACCGCATTAGAAGGGTGGGCTCGAACCCTAGCCTCACGCTTGCGAATGAACCGATTGAGCTAGTCGACAAATTTATTTACTTGGGCAACTGTATCAGTCCCGGTGGTCTCGCGAAGGATGAAATTTCCATCCGGATTGGAAAAGCCAGAGCGGCTTTTGTGAACATACGACACCTGTGGCGTAGGCGTGACATTAGCTTATCCGTCAAGGGTCGAGTTTACAATGTTGCGGCGCGCCCCATACTACTATACGGATCAGAAATCTGGCCGCTGCGCGCCTAAGACATCAAAAGACTTTCAGTGTTTTGACCATCAGAACATTGCCCGAATCTGGTGGGAACACCGGATCAGCAATGCTGAAGTTCGTTGAATGTATTCGGGAGAAATAACTCACCCTCGATAGATGGACTGATCACACTGTGTAGGTTGCACTGGCTTGGCCACGTTCTGCCTATGCCAGTTGACCGACCTCCGCAAAGGGCTTTTTTCGCCCAACCATGTGAAGGGTGGAAAATAGTCACAGGCGATCGAATAATGGCTTAGCAGTGAAGTGTAAAAGCCATTACCAGCAAACTCAGCTGCGCTGGTCATTGCCGTCTTCCCGGATGACGACCCCGAGACGGGCCATATCAATGGTTAGAGACAATGTCAGACATGGACCAGTCGCGCTCTCAGTGGCGCTCGTGCATCCAAGCTATTGCCTTTAATGCATAGCTTCTTTTCCACCCCCCCCCCCCCACCCTCTCGAAAGTGCTGGATTTTTGCACCAATTTACCAGCTCGCGCGTGCAATGCGCAGCTACTTACCCCCCAATCATCGGTGAACGAAACTGTGGCAGCTACAACCAGTGTACGACCAGTACGCGGTTATTACAGCTGATAATGATGATGATGATGCAGTGATTTTACCAAGACTGGGTGTATCGTACACACGCATAGAACTAGAATTAAGAAGCGCCCTGTCGTCCTGTGGGAGTTCCGGATTCAGTAAGGCATTAATTACATGTGTACCATGGATTTCTCAGTGGTGAATTGTGTTGGGTGGATCAAGAAGAATGTTGAATTCGTGTGGGTAAGCAAGATATCATTCACTACGATAGTGCATGAATACCGATCAGAATTTCTTCTGCAATGACACTGTGAGACAATAATATTGATTTTATTGAGTAAACATTTTTAAAAGTGACCCAAAGCTGAAAATCTGTTGTAACGCTTGCGCTCTTGGTGAAGTGAGGATGCTTTATCTAGATGATGGGTTCTCGATGGTGTCGCTACTTCTGCGCATTATGGTACTACTTTATTCACCAAAATGGACAGATTTGAATGAAAATCGCAAAGATACACGTTTCCAATGTAGGGGCTCTTGAAAGAAGGTATCTAAGTTAATCGGGTAAGGAAGTTGTATATTTATTTATTCCACGCAAACCTTATCATTTTATGCTGCATTCATCGACCAGTGAATGCTTGCGTGAAGTACCCTAGGGGTCCACAAAAAGCTTAGTGGGACATGTTATACAACACGACCTTGTACCTCTCGGGGGCAGGTCGTAGTCAGCTGCCTTCGGGTGCGCGTAAAATGCCAAGGTGTGAAAGAAAAGTTTAATTCATGTGAGGTTGTTCATATCAGTTTTATTTCACGCGAATACGAGATTCGATGTGCTGTAATGCAAACCTAGACTTGATGCACAGTATCATTGTACATAACGTCACACAAATGTATTAAATGTATTAAATGTTATTAAATAAACGAGTTTTTATATTTGTGCAATGGTTTTTGATGTGACATGCAACCAACGGCTCTAGTGTTGGATCAAACTAAATCCATTACTCGTTTTGCAGGTTCTTCAGGCTGCAACTTGATGCGGACCAAGTGCCCAAGTAATACTGGATGCTACTTCTATCTTGTTTGATTATGGATTAAGCGGTGTCAATTGGTCCTCTGGTTTGCGTTGTCAAATCCGTACATCTGTAACGTCATCATCATTATCGACAACTTGACATCAGTGTTCAACACCGATGCTTTACTGCCTTTGGTGTTCCTGATTCGGATTTAAGTTATTCCTTTGTAGAGGTTTACGCGAGTCGTACACTGTCTTTGCTTTATGATTAAGCGATCTAGTGACGTTTAAATGATTGATACGTGGTGTTGTCCCGTAGTCTATAATTTGTGTTTAGTTCCAAAAATGTTGTCTTTCAAATTATGCTGCAAGGCATCACTATGTTAGACTACTAGCTAACTTTCCATCGGCCTGGACAATTTTGGCCACAGTACACAGATTTCTTCCTATCCATTCCTTTTGGACATCAGTGTCAACACCGATGCTTTACTGCCTTTGGTGTTCCTGATTCGGATTTAAGTTATTCCTTTGTAGAGGTTTACGCGAGTCGTACACTGTCTTTGCTTTATGATTAAGCGATCTAGTGACGTTTAAATGATTGATACGTGGTGTTGTCCCGTAGTCTATAATTTGTGTTTAGTTCCAAAAATGTTGTCTTTCAAATTATGCTGCAAGGCATCACTATGTTAGACTACTAGCTAACTTTCCATCGGCCTGGACAATTTTGGCCACAGTGCACAGATTTCTTCCTATCCATTCCTTTTGATTTATTCCACTGAGCGACCCAAATTCGATCGAATTTATGCACAGTAAACGTGCGATCACTGGGACTATAGATGGAGATATTAGATGATCCGAAAAGACGACATCAATTGGGATCACAGCACAGCTCACTCAAACCAGGCGTAAAAGTTAATTCGGATCCGACGCTTGCCAGTATTCCTAGATATCTTTCGCAATCCCACAGTTAAAGTTTAGTGTATATGTATGATTTATTTATGTTGTCATTTTCCGTGTTCCTTTGAAGATATCTAGCATAGGTAACAGGTAAACCAGTGATTTTATTTGATAGTTTTCACACTATGAAATCAAACACATTTACCCTCTAACAGTAGAGAGGGTAAGCGCTTTTCTGGACGTTCAGACTATAACATATTTTAGCTATGATGACCATCGAGAGCTAAATTAGTATTCGGGTGCGCATTCACAGAAGAGTCGTATTAGGTTCCAGTATGTGGGACATCAACATCCTCACATTGTTCACCGCGCACTGACTATATTACGTCATTTGTTGATGAAACGCTTGCAAACAGTGCCCGGCGAAACGAACAAAACAGAGGTCGTACATGATTTTGGACACCGTCAACAGAAACGGTTTATCAGTCTCAGAATGTTATCTTCCGGAAGACGTATTAAGTGACTAAGTGCCGGATATTTTTTGACAACAACGGTAGCTGGTCTTTGAAAAGCATCGTATTTCAACACCAGACTGTCCATTTTATAGCGCTGGGGTTCTTCCGTTCTATGAATATCGAATTATTTGATTCGATTTGCTGAGGACAATATCTCATCGGTTAATTGTGGCCCAAATGCTTCTGAATACACATCAGAGACTGAAACAGGCTGAGTTTCAAGATTTTGAAAGCAAAACTTACTTTTTCTCTCTCGACTGGATTTCCATGCAAAGTTAACTTCCGTAGATCGGCCAGGTCACACAACCTCTGTACATCCTGGAAACATTTTATTTGATTGCCGTGAAGATATATCACTTTCAGACTGGTAAGCTTTCTGATAGACTGTGATCATGACATCCTATTAAAATATCAACAAACAGCAGGGATTGAAGTTATTTTGTTGCAGGAGAAATCCAACCAAGTTATCCATTCAGCACTTCCAAAAAGTTCGTGAACAATCTCTGGTATTTCTGTCATCTCTTCTATTTGGTTGTTAGTTGCTTTCAGTGTCTTTGTTATCCATTTTCCATCCTTAGTCTTGGGACATTTCCAATGGATCCCTGGCTGTATTCGCGGCTCGCATTTCAAAATATCTTAACGAATAAGCGATACCAAAAACCTCACCTGAAACCTCTTTTATGTCAAAAAAGGAGAAATCAAGGGGTTGGTAAATGTTCGAGGAGGCACTATCAGCCTGAACCATTTTTCCAACCTAGTGGACCAAACTAAGCTGCAATTCGACGCTTTTGGATCGCCGCGATTCGTTGCTACTAGAAACTCTTTACGGCGCATCGTTAAAACAAATAGTGCTTTACTTAATGCTGATAAGCGCATATACCTGGAGACTCATAGGCTTGACCAAAAAGCACCCGCGTCCTCTGAAGTTATTGGGTTGGCTGCTGAAGTCAAGAAAATAATCGTCCCTTAGCAGAGGGCCACACCGCTTTTCATTCACTGCCTTCATTGAGTGTCGCACATAATCGATGCCTTCGCCCAGGCTACCAGGGTCTGGTTTGCTATTGTCAAGGGTGTATAAACGGCGTTGCTGAATATGCACATGAAGCTTCATCATGGCTTAAAGTAGTGCAAGACCGCACTGAAATATGCAGAAGCACTCTCATCAGGCTGTACTAACAGCAAGGAACTCCCGTTTCTTCTGAGTATCCACCGAAACCCATTTAGACTTCCTCGTCAATTTTGAAATAAAACAACTCTCGTGGACAACATTTCATAAACTGACCTCTTAGTTAAACACCACAGCCCTATAAATTAATAATATCAGAGGCACTACTGAGGACATTCATTATTAGCTAACATGGCCTAACGCAACAGAAATCATAGTTCGCATAATATTCATAACACCAATTTTTACCTCACACAAGCTGTAAACGTTTTAGGTCGTGTGGTTCCTGTGATAAGAGTATTACTATTTGGGTTAACTCTCAGCTTTACAGCAGCCCCTGTAGGCCTGTTTACATTAGATATTTGAACACCATTGTCATTTGTTCAGGGGCAAGACCCGCATGCATGCGTAAAAATACACGCGTAAAATGCGCGGAAAGCGAAAAATAGCAATGAGAACCCATAATACCATTCGAGAATGAGATTCTTACTTCAAGGCTTGTATGAATGCTAGCATTCCTAAGTCATTGGTCTAACCTGGTATGGTGGTATTCTCCTGGTCGCGTATTAGCCACAGGCTCCATGCAGATCCGAAAGGCGTATTCGTCGTGTGGCCTGACGTCTGATGGAGCAGCACGAGTTCCAGTGTCCCGAGTCTGTGTCATAATGAGGCACTATGTCCTTAGTATGTGACCGCTGCCATCTGGCACGGAGAGGTAATACATGCACCACTTCTGCGTTCGAAAATCAGTTACTCGCTAAGCTAAATACCCTGGGCTTCCGAACGTGTTTAATATTTTGACTGCTTGTGAGCATGGTCACTGCAACCGTCACGAGAGAGGACATCAACTATCATTGCGGATTACTATGCTTTTTTACATTGGTGACCGGCCAATAGCGGTGAAGATAAATTTGACGCTGTGATGAAATCCTGACATTTCGAGGACTTCTGTAAAAAAGTATGATCAGCTCACTTTGGCATGAAGCGAGTCGATCCTGGGGAGATAATAGTGTGCAGTTGATGTTAAGGCTGGAATCTGAGCTTCGATTCCGGGCCGCTTTTATCCCTTTTCGGCTCTGATTCTGGGAGGACTGTTTGTACATCCACGAGTGCCTGGCGGTTGGAGTTATTTTACACCAAAGCTTTGCAAACATTTTACAGATGACCATCCTGACATTCGAGGACTTCTGTAAAAAAGTATGATCAGCTCACTTTGGCATGAAGCGAGTCGATCCTGGGGAGATAATAGTGTGCAGTTGATGTTAAGGCTGGAATCTGAGCTTCGATTCCGGGCCGCTTTTATCCCTTTTCGGCTCTGATTCTGGGAGGACTGTTTGTACATCCACGAGTGCCTGGCGGTTGGAGTTATTTTACACCAAAGCTTTGCAAACATTTTACAGATGACCAGATTATACGTTGCTTTCTTCGAGCGGTGACAAAATTCAGACGTTTTAGGCTTGGCACCGACTGGGCGATACATCATCTCAGAGCACCGTGTGTAGCGTATTCCCAAACTGGTCGTACCAGAGTTTTTCAGCGGTTACGTGGCCGTGGTTGTTGCACCAACCGAAAATGTGGAACCAAAATGAATAAAACATGGCATATTTCGCTTTCGGGGACCTACAGATCGGGGTGGATATTTAGACTTGTACAAATGTCGTTGGACTGAAGCCAAGTGAATAGGTCGCAACAAGTTGGCGAACGAACATCATTGGTTGCGTACCAATATCCTGTACAAAGGCGAACAATATCCATAGAAGAAATCAAACTCTCCGTATTTTTGGACTTCCGCATAGATACATCACAACGCAGCCCATCCTACACCTCAGCAAATGAGGAGCAGCCTGGCATCTTATTAAGGGCTTGGGGAGATCCAAACGAATGAAGTCTACGAGCGCTTCAGTCGTTTGTGGCAGTCAAGTTATTTGCGCTGAGCTTAGCCCAGCTGGATAGGGAGCATATCCATCAACCGGTCATTTGACAACATTGCGAAAAAACATAAAACACACCTTTCAGGCTAGTAGGCTCTAGTTAGATAGAAAAAGCATTGCAGTCGAATGTAGTTCACACCAAAGTTTTGGCAAAATTTTCGGGGAAAATTGGACATCCTACCACTCAATATTTGGTTATTTAGCAGGGTCCAGCATGTGATTGCTGAAAGCACCCAAACGCAGTAAACATATGCACGACTGAAATTAAATTACCGCTGCAGAGCGGTTTGCATTAATGACGTCATCTGAACGCCGATATTCTCAGCAGCGGTACAATATTCTGAAACAATAGCACTCATGGAGTGTTTGGAGAATTTCGGGCAACGGTGATGGACGAAGAAAAATAGATAAATGGATTTGTCTACAAAGTGCGCTGCTTATAGGCAGATTGTGATTATCGTAAACTGATAAAGGTACCAAGACAAACCTATGGAAGGATGACCAGAAGTGTTCCAGGTGCACGAAGTCCTTATCTACCAAATCGTTGCGTGTGGGTGCTTGGGGCACCTTTTGAAAATACAAGAGATCATGCCAGGGAGACTACGCAGGTTGACGTCGCTGGACAACGACCAATGAAAAAAACGTCACCAGATTGGTCGTATGTATAGTCAACGACTTCGGCAAACATGCAACCACAATCGATTTGGTCACCATTACAAACATTTTAAGCACCGGTGAGCTTCAAATCAATCCAATCGCGATAGGACAGAGGCTTTTAGGACAGTACTTTACATGCATGATGTGGGCTTCTATAAGCTGACACGACCTGAATGACGACTTGTGAACACAAAAATGGGCTGCTAAATCTATTGTTCGAGAGAAGAGCAAACTCCGCAGCAGACCAATCATGATGTATCGTGGTAGTAGTAGTAGTACAAATTTAATCTAAAAAACGATACCTTCCTAATAGACGAGACGAAAAACACCGCTCGCATTTGATTCAACCGTCCCGTTAACCAAACATTTACCAGGTACAGTCTCCATAGGACTAAGCACACTTACGGCGGTCAATAATTCTTAGACTAAACCTGGGCACTTTTCAAAGTAGAGCGGCAAGTTACCACATATAGGAACCAAGAAATACTCGTTTAAACTTAAGAGATAGAGCAATGCAACATGCAGAGGACCCAATACTGTGCGTCCATTTCAAGTTGCGTTTCAAAGAAGAGCCATTCGAACTAAAGGGAAGGCACACGAGCTCTCTACAGTTGGATGGATATGTGAAGCCAGAAGCTGTTCACCTTAGTTGCGTCTGTTCTACGTATTTCATTTGAGTGTATTACAGGTGGTTCCAGCGTAAGAACAAAGGTAAATGCCCCCAATCAGGTTGGATGAAGGAACTTCGTATTTGTCCCAAAAAGAGTAGGAAATGTGTACCATTTTTGGTCTTTACTTACGGAAAGCCATTCCGATAAGTGGTTTTTCCTGCTTTGTGGACATTGTCCGGCATTACATTATCTTATTGATGATTCGTTTTAAAGATCATTTTTCAGGTGACATCCAAATAAGACCTAAATGGCCATCCTGTCACAGGTTCTAAGAAGTTGAAAATAAAACTAGATAAGCAGACGGATTGGGGGAGAGGAAGGTTGACATGATACAATTGGCACACCTCGCAGTTTCTGAGGGCAACTAACTCGCACTAGAGTAAAATGTCACTAGTTACAATTACTGCAGTGAGTGTGTCCGAAAATTGCCATAGGGTGGCATGATCAGTGCAGTCAGAATAGCACGATATTTACAAGCAACTAATTTTTCAGCGGTCAGTGCACTGACAATCTCACCTCGATTGGTGGTGAAACGCTTGCAACCCAACTGCCAAGTTCGGCAAACAGACCAACAATCAAGCAGCGCAAACCTGCTACCCATATTCCACAACATCGCTCCACATCACTGCAGCTAATTCCTACAAGCTCTTCGTTGCATACACTGCAGCTACACATGCTAATCGACCGGGTTTCTTGTTATCTACCTTGACAAAATCGCGAACCCTAACACATGCATGGTCTCCACAAGTCTGTCACCCCGGCAGCCGTTGCCGATTTGAGGGCTCATTTTTTATGTACAGTGATGTTGTCCCACTGCTCAGCTGGAGATCCATTCCGTTTGTTCTAGATACTTGTTTCAATAGTCCCAGCACACTGGAATGTATTTCATCTGCGTTTTCGCTATACACTGAAGCCATTGAGAGCTATCCTTGTCACCCAAATGCCGGGAAGTACACCTTTTAACGGTCGCATATTGACCTCGGTTGATCGTACTCTTAGGTCTGCTCCTAAAAATCGGTTTGCAGAGAACTAAGTGCAACGCCTACCGATTTGGTGTTTCATGCTTCTATAGTTCAGCAGAAATGTAACTACTTCAGCCTGTTCATCAACGTTGGCTGGATTTGCTGTAAGAATTAAGGATTCATGTGTTCATGAAATTTTCAGTGACACCAGTGGATTGTGGAAGATGGAAACAAAAGCTGCCAATGATCGATACCTCATGTTCAGTTTTCGAAAACCTCATCAGAGAAATCCAGGTTGTCAAGGTTGACAACAGCCTGTGAAACAAGGGAAATTCTGGAGGCAGCCTAGTGTGAAACTGACCGGAGTCGCGTGGTAAGATTCGTTCCCTGCCAGTTGGAATATACGTCAACAATTGGATGAAATTTATCGAGTGCACACGAGTATGCATGCATCCACTGCCAGTCTTCACAAAAAATGAGCCAGGATTTCCACTCGAGAGAAACGGTTTCAAAATGCTCTTAACAGGACAGTTGAACGACAGTCGGCTCAATTCGACTATAAAGAAACATTTTCACCTTACTTGTTGTTGCATACTTAAAAATAAGAGTATATTCATTAGCGGAGTTTGCATCACCCACCACCATTAGCTACAGATGATGTGGGACGTTTACTGACTGTGGCTCATTCTGGAACACCTATGTGAATTCCGATCAGGTTCCTGTTCGTTGCTGATTCCCGCTGACCGTTTCATGAGCGCAGAAGATGCACATACTTCGCCTGGCCAATAGAAAGCTGACGAGTAGTGGAGTGAAACAAGTCTACCAAAACAGTCTACTGAGGTCCCTTTCGGACAACTCTTTTTTGTTCAACAACCCTGCGAGGTGCTCGGTGCTTTTGAAGCGGCACAACCAACTAGAATCTAAGCACCGGGTCTCGAGCAACACAAATTGCTCGAAGTTAGGGCACATTTCTCCTGGACATAAATGAGAACTGACAGACTTCAGCTGAAAAGGAACCTCTGCGTGGGTCAATAAATTTGGTGAGTTCAGAAAACCGAACTGATGGAGGCGATAAACTCTGAGAATGTGCGTAAGGTGTTCCAGCTGACTGGTGCAGCAGGCCCAAAGAGGCTCCGGGCTGGCGAAACAATCACCGGTAACCACCACTGACCTATTTCCACGAAAGAGCATCTGACTAGTGCGGTTAAACACTTCCAACAGCAATTCAACTGGCCGCCTGCAATTGCTCAGCCGGATTTCCCACCCTGGATAGTGAAGTTGGAACCCTGAGTACTTCGGAAACAAGTGAATATCTGTTGTCCTTCAAGCATCAGAGACCTGCCTGTGCTGACAAGCCCCCGACACGCTCGGTTCAAAGATGGAGGTGGTTAGTACTTATTCAACATTTTGCCTCTATCTGGGCAAAATAGACCGGCCCAGTAAACTGGAGCGAGTGCGTAGTGGTATCCATTTTCCAAAAGGGGTTCACAATGAGCGCGTCAGTCACAGAACTAACTTGACCTCCGTTGTAATCAGACTATCGAAGCCACTTGTTCTACGTCGTCTTACGAAGGCGCATGAAGACGGGACGCGAGAAAAGCAAGCAGGATTCTGATCTGGAAGAAGTTGTCTTGTGCACGTCACATTCCGCCATGAGTTAGAGCGACGGCATGCAATCTTGATGTTTGTCAACTTCAAGTGTGCGTCCGATTCTTTCGATCATTTGGTTCTTTTCAACACGTTTTAGCAAAAGCGTTTGCCTCAAAATTTCGTTAGTAACATGCACTATTTGTGTCCACATACTTGTGGGTGAGAGTGCATCAGCTGTTCTCCAAAAGCCCTCCTACAAACAGTGGTGTCAATGATGAATATCCGTTACCCGGTCGTGGGTGAGGGTAACCATGTTCCGACAAAAACTTCGCATAACACGAAACTCGCTTCTCATGTCCTACGGATTGGCAACTTATATTGCACATGTCTAGAAGAGTAAGAATCCGTACTTATAATGAGGGGAGAATCGGAGGGATTCACTTTCACTCAGAGTTAAAATAGCCCATGCGATTCCACTCTTGATGCCCGATGCCAGAATAAATAGTGATTTCAATCAAATGCGCGTTAACAAAGTGCGCAATCATAAGAACCGGTGCAGGTCAGTTGGTGACCGGAAACAAAGTTTTACAGCTGCTGAATTTCCTAGATCTGACGTAACCAAGTAGCTATAAATTAGAAGCGACACTCGGTTTCCGTATCTCCTTAGTACGGCACACCGGTGGGGACCTTATAGTCGTAAAGCCGCACAACACGAAAGTCACAGTTCCTAATGCATGGAGTGGAAATCAACAAAGGCATGCCTTTCACACAAGAATTTGAGAAAATTTTCGGAGACCTGGACTATTGGAGGATAGAGTTTGAGCATCCTACAGAACAGGTCTGCATTCACAAAGTCCAGAAATTTTTTAAAACCCAATCTATGAGCTTGCTGTTGGAATATCGTCGTCGAGAACTCAAACGTAGCTGGGTTGTCTACTAACTAACAGCTGAGCACATTCTGAGTCAATAACGGATAACTTCACTCTCCTGACGAGCAATTCACATTGTCAGTATCTATGGATACGGAGATCGTCCAGTCGTTATTGTGGGTCTCCACGTCGTCTACGCCATCCCCGGGAATTCACTGATCAATGGCAAAACTTAAGACAACGGAGGATATAGAGTATTAGTGCAACACTTCGCTAGCAAACGAGGCCTGTTAGGTCGTAACGGGCAACAGGTTGTAACAAGGTATGTGAGGGCATCGAGCATGGCCGAGTAGTGGGAGGGTACCTCACATTTCCACAGAACAGTACGTACGTCTTAGAAGCCCCAAAATGGTAGTTTGAGAACTGGCGGACGGTAAATATTTAGCCGATACAATCGAATGCTGTTTGAAGACCAGACCAGTATTAACGGTACTCGAGTAAATTACGAAGTCACAGAAGTCTGTACCTTTGGGGCAATGAACACGATTTTTTGGTGATTATGGAGCTAGGATGGACTAACCTCGTGATAGTGAATTCTGTCGAAGCCAAACAGTCGAGAATAAGAACGTTAGGCGTCTTGAAAATATTACTTCAGTGTGTAGGAGTTTATCCGAACCAGGTGCTCTGTGCCACTTCAGTAAAACGGGAGCTTGTCTTACCTCTACTTCTGAAGGAGCAGTAGACATCGAAGGATGTCTAGAGCGATGGCGGTCAGTTAAGTTGTGAGCAAAGCCAGTTTAACTGTTGCTGAAAGTACTATATAGGTAAGTCGTTTGCCTGAGAACTGACTTCACTGGCATTTTTATGTTTGAGTGTACAAATACGTTGAGGTGTCTGATAATTCCAAGCTACGGCATGTATATTGTGAACTCTAGTTTCCATAAGGGAGTCAAATATGCCAGTGATAATAGTAAAAAAACTACTCCTTGATATTTGCGGGCAAAATGCGCTCCAGAACGCGTTTGCCATTCCAGGCTGATTGCCGAATGTAGGTCTAATTCAACCACACAGATCAAATTTTGCCCACTTTCTTGCACTCGTGAGACTGACTATGCAACAACCAGTAGGCTAATAAGTTTTCATTGAGTTGAAATCGTTTTGCACATATTTCAACTCTCGTTAGGCTTACTGGGTGAACATCTATCTTATTTACTGCTGATAAGCATGGACTATGTTGCCAGTATCTTCTCAACTGGTCAACTGGTTAGGCAACCAGTCAATTACTTAACGGACTTGCAGACGTGCTTATCATAAGCTGGAGACAAGCCATTTAGATCACTTAACATTTAGGTGCAGTCGTAGCTTCGCAACTCCACTCTCTGCTTTTGCTTCGAAGATTCATGGTTTATGCGATAAAAAAAAGAAGCCAGGCTGAAGTAACAGATTGCTACTGATGGCAAGTGCAGTAAGCAGTTAATCGTGTCAACAAAACAGCTTCGTAAGTGACAGCGTAATCAAGGACTGATGGCCCTTGAAGGCACAGGACGCTGACAGATGTGCTTTGCCCTGATTCAAACTCACACAAGAACATGCACTTGTGCAAGTATGGTCGGCAGATCCAGAGTGAAATGGAAACTTGCTTGCTTCATTATCAAAAAGTCGGATAAAAATCAGTGTTTAGACTTTTTTGAAAACGAGAGTCATTTATGAGTAGATTTCAGATCCACGCCCTAGACTGATAACTGTGACGGATAAACACAGGTAAGAACGCGTGAAAACTGTACAGACTGATTTATTACGAAACAGTTAATAAAATAGTATGGTGTGAACAGTGGGGAGTATACAGTCATTTAAATGTTCTCAGTTTCTTGTGAATCTCTGCTAGATGACCAGCCAATTTATCGGCCTGTGCAAGTTGTTGATCAAGCTGTGGGTGGGAACAGTGCAAAAATAAAATCAGTTATTTGTAGTCTCAAATCATCCACACACCTTGTTCACACAAATGCAAACACACATGATGAGTTCGCCCTGATATAACAATTCAGTCAACTCAGCAACCTGCGCTTCCAATACAGCGCACCGTCACCCAGCCATGAATCCATCAGAAGCTTTTCGATGATGAGTAAGATAACAAATGCGTACAAGACAGAAGTCCCCAAATTAGAATTTTTACAGGCTAGCTCATCACCTACTGCGGACTTGTGTATAATGCACTAAACGATGTCTCTTTTCATAGTCAACGAAAGTCACGCAACAACAGTGGATGGTGATTATATGCTAAGAACAAGTGTGAGTAAAGAAAACTCGCAATGATGACAACAACAGCCGGATGATCGCCTTGTTAAGGATAAGTCTGCAAGACAACGCAGCAATTTGTTAACTGAGTTCAACCGGTTGTTGGTCAGATGACTACTGTTCTGTTCGTCGAGCTTGTCAATTGGAGTGCAGAATTTCGTCACCGAACCAGGAGACAGCATCAGTGTGCAGTCGGGAGAGTACTTCCTCCGCACCGGTTGGGCGCACCAATAGCGGTCATTACGGAAGAGAAAACAGGACGGCGCAAACAAGCAATCAAACTAAACAGAATCGGGTCGAAACGTAACGCAAATTGAGTGTGGGCCAACCGGAACAAGGAAAGAGAACCACTCTCAGAAACAGATGGTATCCGGATAACCAATCAAACAAAAGGAAGGTGGGTCACAAAGCTGCCTCTCAATTAGCCAGCGACGTCAACGGGTAACACATACACTTCAAGTGAAACAGAAGCGCATGTTGGCAAAGAGGAAGTACCCACCCGACCGCGCACTGATAATATCTCCTTGTCTGGTGACGTTCGCAAGTTGAGTGCCAGGCTCCGCGAACAGACGGACAGCCAACCAAAAAATGACAATAGTTCTGAACAATATCTGAGGAGTGTGAGTGAAAGAACTTCATAGTACGTCCACGGGATTACATAAATGTGATTGCAGTTCAAATAAAGTGATGAGTGTTCGTCCATTCGCTTACCCTGTCGTTTTCCGCATGACCGAGTTTGATTTGTTCTTCGGTTAGTGTAAGGGTTCGTTGCGACTTGTTTACCGTCTCCTGTAATTCCGCTGCCTCCCGTTCGAGCGCTGCAAGATCCTTAGCCCCACATTTACTGTTTGTTTGGATAGCCTGGAGGGGGCACACAAATCGAATAACGTGAATGTCTATGGGATAATTTGACAGCCTTGATAGCAACCGCAACCGAAATAAGTAGTAACTCCTTGGGCTGCAACACAGCTCCTTATCAAGGTACCGCAGTATTTGACTTATGCCTGTTCTCAAGGCAAACTTAAGTACTGAGCGCCAATCATTATGTATAGTGTCCCTTTCTTAACGAATGAAACCCATGTAATAAGTCTGTCAAATTCTATTGGGAGTCATTCCTAGAGGAAAGAGCGCGATAATGATTCATCCACAGTGGTGTCAGGTTCGAGGTCCAAGTGCAAAATCACCTAGGAACCTTAATACTGAGAAAAATCAGCACGCGCACCTCAGCCGAATAGCATATCTAAGCAACGGGATCTGCGAAAGTGAGGCACATCACCTTGTTCGATAAAAAATGGTCATTTTACGTATAACAACTGGACAGGAACAATCAGGTGTCGGAATTACGGACGACCAGATAGCTTTTAAAATACGGATTGGAAACTTTGCGGTTGTTACTACAGGGAGATGCGGTTAGGTACCGGAAATCTTCGTCACAGGACACCACAATATTGGTAGTGGTCCTCATATAAAGTGGACAATTGGAATCCAAAAGGTCATGTGACCGGAACCCCTAGTGTGTGTGGCAAGTATAGCGAGATGCAGCCGGTCGAACATATTATTGTCAACAAGTTAGCTGCTGAACGTAGCTGGATACTAACTTACTGCTTCTGCGCGATATCTCAGGAGCTTCAGTGAGGGTGAAGAATGTCATTATATA